GTTGCGCAGCTTGTGGCTCGAGGCCCCGAGGGGTTGCTCAGCCACCGTTGGGCGGCCGCCCCCCCCCTCTCGGTGGGCGCGGGGATGGCCGCCGACGCCGCCGGCGACGGCGCCCAGGGCGAAGCCCTCGACCCCTCGGGCGCCGCCGAGAGCAGCAGCGAAGCTGCTCTCGCCAGCGGAGAGCGTCGCGGGCCTCGCAACGCGCTCTTCGCTGACAGCGACCGGCCTCTCACATCCACAGCAGACGCCACGCCCAAAGCGTCTGCGTCCTCGGAGGGCGGCTCGCACGGCCCCGACCCTGCCGCCGCCAGCGCTGGTTCGGCTCCCCCGGCCGCCAAGCGTGCTCCGCCTCTGGCCCTCCGCTCCAAGGCCGCGGCGGCCCCTCCGCCTGCGATCGGGGGGGGCTCGTCGCGCGTCGGCTCACGGGAAGCGCCAAAGGGGGCCACGGCTGCTACCCCCCGCATCTTCCAGCGAGCGGCCAGGGTGAGCGCCTCTCGCCAACTGCTTGGCGTCGTGGACGGGGCCTCGCGCAGCACCATCGAAGCCGCCTTCAGGCGCCAGTCCCTAGTCTACCATCCAGACAGGACTCCTGCGCACTTGGGGGCCGATGAGCGAGCAGCCCGCGCGCTCAACTGGAAGCAGCTCTGTGACGCCAAGTCAGTGTTGCTCCAGGCCCTCTCGCAGGCCGCCGCGCCGCCCGCTGGTCCTAGCACGGGCGGTGACGGTCCTGCCGCTCGCGCCTACGCCCAGGCAAAAGCGGCAGGGAAGGGCGCCCGCAAGGGCAAGCTGGCTCCTGGGTCGACCATGGCCCTTCAGGCGCTCGAAGAAGCGGTCTCTTCGCGGGTCGCCCTGGCGAGTGCCGAGCTGGCCCCTCGGGCTGCCCTCCCCGCCTCGGGCGCGCCTCTCCCAAGGAGCGGGGTTTCGTCTGCCCTCGCGACGCGGGCGGCTGAGTCTGATGCCATCCTCGCCTCCGCCGTGTCGCGCGGCCGCGTGGAGCTCGACGCACTCCGCACCGCGCGTGCCGACGCCACCAGGCGCACGGTGCAGGCTCCTGCACGCGGCGAAGGCGAGCGTGCCGTCGCTCGTGCCGAGCTCGCGGAAGGCATGGCCGATCGCGCCTACTTCCGACGCTTGCGCGAGGCCGCCAGTCGTGAGGCCGCGGGCTTGCCGCGTACGGCTCCCGTCCAGCTGGGTCGGGATTGGCGCAAAACTCTGCGCGCCGTCCTGCACAACGCTGAGGTCTCGACGGGCCTCGCCAACGCGGATCGTGCCGCTCGTGCTGGGGACGCCCCCGCGTCGTCCACTGGGCGCTCCCTGGCCGAGGTGGAAGCTGTGGACCCGCGCGCCTTGGCGAGACCTGCCGACGACCCAGCGTCCAGCTTCAGCCGTCGTGAGGGGCGCGCGGTCCGCGCCCGCCTGGGCCCGCGGGACGAAGCTGTCGAGGACCAGCCCAATCGCGGGGGTCACGCGCCGCACTCCGCCTCGCGCACGGGCGCCACGCGCAACAGGCGCGCCAAGAAGCAGCGGCGAGCTTCGACGGCGGCGCTCCCCGCCCCTGAGGGGGGGGCCGCCACGACGCCGGGCCGCAGGGCGCGTCGCACTGCTAATGCGCGCCGCTGGGCAGGCGCGGCACGCCCCAGCTCCGCCGCGGGAGTGGGCCCTCCACCGCGGAGCCGCAGCCCTGCCCGCAGCCGCACGCGGTCTCCGAACCCGTACGGGACTGATCACACCTCTCCCTCGGGAGGCTGCTCCTCGCCTCCCATCGACGGCTCGATCTCGCCTGAGGAGCCTTCGGGGCCGCCGGCGGGGGAGGCATCGGAGGGCCCGCACACTCCTGACGGGTCTCCGCCCGCGAGCGCCCGCAGCCGCTCGAGAGCGGAGCCCGCGTGCGAGGAGGACTCTCCGACGGAGCTCGAGGACGTCGTGCTGAGTGCCCTCGCTGACTCCTCGGTGGACCTCGAGCGCGTCGTGGCGGGCCTGAACCCCGAGGTCCTCCTCCGCTTGCAGGCGGCCTTCCCTCGCCGCGCGGAGGCCTCTCCGCCCGCCGCTCACGCCGCGGCTCGCAGCCGCTCTCGGGGCCGCGGCACGCGCGCAGGCTCCGAGACGCCGCGGCCCGTCCCCCCGCCGCCGCCACCACCCCGTCACCACTCTGGTGGGCGTGCGGCGTCGCGATCCCGCGGGTCGGCCGCCGGCCAGGGGCTTAGTCGAGCGAACGCGCGCGACTCCTCTCGTGCGCCTTCGCGTCAGGCGACGTCGCCTGGGCGTCGCGAGGTGCGCTCCCCTCGAGTCGCTCCGAAGCGTCGCCCGAGCCCCGCCACTTCGCAGCAGCCAGCCACGCCCCGCCATGGTGCGAGCTCGGACGTCGCCTTCGCAGGCAGCTCCCGCGCGGACTCCGCTGCTCAGGCCCCTCCGACTTCGGTAGGCATGCGCTCTTCCAGCGATGCTGTTGCGGCCCCGCAGGGAGGAGGGCGTGCCGCCGAGGAAGGGGGGTCTTCGAGTGGCTTCGCGCTTGGCCGAGCTTCAGAGCCCGAGCTGCATCTCAGCGGTTCTCACAGCGATGACGCTGGAAGCGCCGCGGCTGCAGCCTTCGCAGCGCGGCGCACGGCCTCTGCGGCCGCTGAGCAGCCCTTGCCTCCAGGGGCCGCCAGCGCCCTAGCGTGGCGCCTCAATATCGGCGGTGAGAAGATCACTGTGGTGAGGTGGGGACCCGCCTGGCAAGCTGCCTTCCAGAGCGCGGCGTCGTGGCTGAGGTCTTTCGCACCCGCAGGGGCCGCCGAGCCCGAGGGCAAGGATGACTTGCACTGCCTCCTGCGGGCCTTGCACGCCTACAAGCGCCTGTTTCAGACAGGCGGCGCCGAGCCGATCGACGAGGCCTCGTGGTTGCATCCTTACGTGGCCGTCGTCGAGCCCGAGGCTATCCCCGCGCATGCTGACCTCCAAGCCATGGGGGCGGGCGCCATCCGTGGCATCGGGCTCGGCTCAAAGATCGAGCAGCGGCGGCGCGCGGGCAAATTGGCCTGCCTTTTCGACCTTCTGTACCATGTGCAGGACAGTCACGGCGCCATCCCAGCAGCGCTGTGGGGATCCCACTCCCCTCCGTCCGAGATCCTCGACGCCTTCGCGGAGGTGGTGCCCGTTCCACATCATTCGGGCTTCACGTCCTCGGCAGCTCGTTCCGAGCTCGCCGAAGCAGCCGCGGCTGCGCGTGCCGAGCCGCGCCCGCCTTTTGACTGGGCGACCCTCGAGGGAGGGGACGCTCTGCCAGCCGAGATCGAAGCAGGGGCTCGCCGTGCCTACCGTAACATGGGCGGATCCTTCAGCTCGGCGCGGGCGATGCTGGCGGAGGCGTCGGGGTTCGAGACCGACGGGCGGGACGCCCTCGTTCCGCCCTTCTACGCGTCCAGGCGCAGGAGGGCCGCCACGCTGATCAGCTCTCCAAGCCCTGGCCGCCCTGCGCTCATCCTGTGGTGCGTCTGCGGCCTCTGCATCTCTCTGGGAGCCGCGGCGCCGACCGCAGGCCAAGGGCTTAGTCGGGCTGCGCCGTCCGCGCCCGCTCGCCCTCCGCGCACTCCCTTCGTGCGCGATTCTCACCTCACCTCCGCGTATCTCGACCGTCGCTCGAGATCGATTGATGCCTTCGAGCTGTGGTTAGCAGAACACACTGGCGTGCCACCCGCCACACTTTACCGAAGCGGGATACTTCTCGCCCGTTTCCTCGCGACCTTCGGCGTGTGGCTTCATGATGCAGGTTTCCCTCATTATATTTTGGTCCATGCCATCTTGGGAATCCAAAGCGCCCATCCGCATTGGAAGGCCTTTCTGACAGAAGCTTGGGACGTAGCGAAACAATGGAAGCTTGCGGAGCCGCCAAAGCTCCGTCCCCCCTTGCCACGCGCGCTGCTGCGCGCCATGGTCGGGCTCTGTCTCGCCTGGGACTGGCCGGTGATGGCGGCCCTGCTGCTCATGGGCTTCACAATGTTCCTCAGGCCTGGCGAACTGCTGGCGTCACGCCGCTGTGACCTGTCGCTTCCATGCGACCGTCTCGAAGTTGAAGGGGATGCTTTTCTTTCGATTCTTGTTCCAAAGACCAGAAGAACGTACCCGACGCAACATGCTCGCTGCTCCGATCGGGGCACGGTGAAGGTATTGAATCAAGTGTTTGGGAGGTTGGCTTCCACCGATCCTCTCGCCCCCTTCGGCGCGAGCGGCTTCCGTACTCGGTGGAATCATCTGCTTTTGGCTCTGGGCGTCCCTCTTGCCAAAGCAGGTCAGGGGCTCAACCTGACGCCCGCTTGTCTGCGGGGCTCTGGCGCAACAGACTTCTATATCGCTACGGAAGACGTCCCCCGCGTCTTCTGGCGAGGGCGCTGGCGTCAAGCTTCCAGTGCCGAGCGCTACCTGCAAGCCGCCGCCGCCTCCACAGTTCTTGCTGCGCTGCCCGAGCACGCACGGGCTCGTATCTTGTTCTTCGCCACCGCCAGCGACCGCCTTGTCGCTTCGTTCCTCCAAGTCGGCCCCGCCGCTTGGCCTGCCCTGCTTGCGGCCGCCCGCCAAAACCTTGTCACTTCGCAAGGTCCTTGAGCACGGGTATGGCTGCCTCGCCGACATCGGCGACCAGACGGACTCCACCGTCTGACGCGCGGCGCCCCGGCTTGAGCGCGCGGGACGGGCCTGCCCATTTTGGGCCGCCCCGCGCGCGCACGCCGCGGCCGCGCTCGGAGACAGCTCGCTAGCGCGCGAGCGGGAGAATGCTTCTTCTATTCTCTGTGAGCAAGCTCCTGCTGTCTCCGCAGCTTCTCTGCCCCCCTCCCTCCTCTCCCACTCTAAGGCTGACGGGCGCTGCCTCGCCGACATCGGCGACCAGACGGACTCCACCGTCTGACGCGCGGCGCCCCGGCTTGAGCGCGCGGGACGGGCCTGCCCATTTTGGGCCGCCCCGCGCGCGCACGCCGCGGCCGCGCTCGGAGACAGCTCGCTAGCGCGCGAGCGGGAGAATTCTCATCCTCCTCCTCATCCTGTGCCGTGTGTATTGGCGACTTAAGTTGAAGCTTGGAATTCAGTGGTGCGTGCTTCTGGATGTCACAGTCTGCAGCCTGCCCTGCACTCGCGCTCGCACCGCTTCTCTCCCTGGCCTAGAGTCAGCAGGCGCTCCTGGGTACGAGGCCTCAATGCCTTGCCCCCCCTCTGGCCTCCGATGGTCCACCAGGGCCCAGGCTCTTCGGTAGCATGGCTCTGCTGTGCCCCCCTCTGGCCTCCGCTGGTCCGCCAGGGCTTGGGCGCTGCAGGCGTAGGCCTGCCTTTGCGATGAAGCATCGCGCAGGCAGCCGTGTTCAGTTGCCCTCTGGTCTCCGCTGGTCCGCCACAGCTTGGGTTCTGCAGAGAGGCGCACTACTGCCGTTCCAAGTTCATTCCACTGCTGGCTCCGACTTGGTCTCGATGAAGAGTCCCGCGGCGCTTTGTTGGAGGACGGCGCTTTTGTCCAGTAGGCAGGCTCCAAGGAGGGCTGTTGTGCTGCGCACCCCTCTCCTCTCCTCTTCGCCTCCCTCCTTGCGAAGAAGCCCGAGTAACTAGCAGGCAGCGCACTTCAGCAGAACTTTTAAGTCGATGATTGGTACCACAGTGAACAGTACAAGATGAGCCATCGCCAGGGGTATGAGGAGCGTTGCGCCCCCAGGTCGCGGTTAAGGGGCCCTGCGTTGTTGCATTGTCGTCGCCGAGGGAAACAAATATTTCCCAACCATTTTGCGGTGTTGCGTCCTCGTTTTGAATCCGCAGCGCCCCTCCTCCCAACTGCCTCTGCCTTCCGCATGCCCGTGCCGGTACACCCCTCACACGTTTCGTGGCCCCCACAGGGAGCTCCACCGAAGGCCACAGTGGCGACGTTCGCATGCGGATCCCCGCCCATTCGGCGCACCCCACACATGTTTCGTGCCCACCACAGGAGCTCCGCCTGCTGCCCCAGTGGCAACGTTCGCGTGCGGTTCCCCGCCCATTTCAGCACACACACACACACACACACACACACACACCTCACACGTATCGCGGTCCCACAGGGTTTTCCGCCCAAGGCCCCAGTGGCGACATTCGCATGCGGTTCCCCGCCCATCTCGGCGCACCCTTCGCAGGCATCGTGGCCCCGCAGGGAGCAGCTCCACCGAAGGCCCCAGTGGCGACGTTCGCATGCGGTTCCCACATCGGCACACCCCTCACACGTTTTGTGTCCATTGAGAGTTCTGCTTGAGACCCCAGTAGCAACGTTCGCATGTGGTTCACCGCCCGCTTCGGCACGCCATTCACAGGTTCCGTGCCCCTATAGCGGGCTACGCCTGAAGCCCCAGTGGCGACGTTCGCATGCGATTCCCCGCCCATTTCGGCACACCGTTCACACGCTTCGTGCCGCAATCGGGAGTTTCACCGAAGACGATATTCAAGATCGCGGCATTCACAACTGCACATGGTTGGGTTTCGCTTGGCCGGCGAGTGCCCTACGGGCCCGCAATTTGAGCAGGAGCTCCGTTTTGAAGGAAATTGCCATCCACACTTCGAGAGACAATGGGGGCCCATGCCAAGAAACACCCTGCTCGCCTCCAGGGTGCCCTGGGTTTCTTGGGTTTCGATGCTCTTGCTATGGAAGGCGTGACGCTCCCACACCAAAAATCGATGGACGCCCTGGGGGTTCAGGGTTGGGTTTCTTGGGTTTCTTGTGGAAGGTGTCTTGTGGTCGGGCCCCTACTGCACAAGGAATGCGACAAGGTGGGCTCTGCAGCTCAACGGAGTGAGCCCAGCGACGGCCCCGCTCCGAAGAGGAGAGCCGCTCTCCCTCCGCGCAGCTGTTGCTGCGTCACTTCACGCGCGTGGCCCATATCTGCAGAGGAAGTCCCGAGCACAGTCGGCCCGCACGGCAAGGATGCGCAGCCTTCCCAGGGCTGCCCTTGCATCCTTGCCCCGTCGGCCCCTCCTCAGCGACTTTCGCTGGCCAGCCTCGCCCGAAAGACGTCGGCCTGGGCCCCCGAGGCCCTTGCGGCCTCACCGCGCATCCTTCTGACACGGGCTGACTGTGAGAGCCCCACTGTGAGAGCGTGCTGGCCTGCAGACGCGCACTTGGCTGCACAGTGCCACACGTGTGGCCAGATCCGCGGATGAAGTCTCGGGCGAGATGCCCACCGCGGGAGCGTGCCGGCCCCCGCTCGGGTCACCGAGGGGAGCGCTCGCAGCGAGCGTGCGTGACGCGGGGGCGACAGCCGCGGGCTCTCCGTCCGTGCAGCTTGGACCGCTGGAGAGAAAGCCCACGCGCAGAGGGGGGCAGGGGAGGGGGGGGGAGGCTTCTCGGAGGCACCCTGCTTCCAAGGAGGCGCGAGCCTTGTCTGTCGACGTGAGGCCCGCGCCGTCTAGGATGCAGCCTCCTGAGAAGCCTCCCCCCCTTCCCCCTCGAATCTGGAGCGAGAGGGGATCGAAGCGAATGAGTGTGTTCATGCTTTGGACCGTAGACAACCGTTCAATACGAAGCAAAGGCTTTCTCTGAATTCTTTTCCACGTTCTTTTCCGTAGCGCAGGGATCGGCCACTAGTATCGAACTCCCTCTTGGATTGCAATGCCGACAGCAGACGCGGAACGCTACGCTGAAAACAAACAACTTGAGACAGATGTCTACGGACGGTGCTGTTGCGAAGAAGAACCAGCAGCAGAGAGAGGCCTTGCGGGCGGACGGACGGAGCCCCCCTGTGCGCGCCAACGAGGGAGGCCTTGCGGGCGGCTCCCGCGAACCTGCAGAGGGTATCCGAAGGCCCCCGAGGGCCGCGGAGGGGCGCCGGGGGGGCGCACGCGGAGGCAAGCCGACGAGCATCCCAGAGCAGTTCGGATAGCACTTGCAGCCCCTCCTCCTCCTCCTCCTCCTCCTCCTCCTCCTCCTCCTCCTCCTCCTCCTCCTCCTCCTCCTCCTCCTCCTCCTCCTCCTCCTCCTCCTCCTCCTCCTCTTATCCCCCTCTGGGACAGAGAGAGAGAGAGAGAGAGAGAGAGAGAGCACCTCCAGTTTGGAGCAGAGACAGAACACCGTCCCACCTCTATCTAACGGCCTTCGGCCCATGCCGTCACCGTGCCTGGGTGGTGGGCCAGGGGTCTTTTGAAGGGCTCTGAGGGGGCTCTTGTGGACCTCTTGGGGCCTCCTGGGGGCCTTTTAGGGGTCGCTTGTGGGCCCCTTGGGGGCCTCTGGGGGAGGGCCTGCTGGCGGTCTCGGGGGTAATCTTGAGGCGGAGGCTCGAGTTGTCAGTTCGTGTGTTCCCCATCTTGGACCCTCTCGGGCTCTCGGAGGCCTCTTGGAGCCTCTTGGGCCGCCTTGAGGCCCTCTTTGGGACCCTTCGGACCGTCTTGGGGCGATACGGGGGGCCGTTGGGTCAGTTTTGGAGCGTTGGAAGACCGAAAGGGCGAGAGTCCTAAAATCACTCTAAACCGTCGGATACTCATTGACGGTTGCCTCTTCGGGCCCCCGTGTGGGGCCGTTTGGGCCATCTTGAAGGCGTCTTGGGCCGCTTTGGGGTCATATCGGGCGTCTTGGACCGAAGTTTCCTGCTGAGGTCCAGACTGGCCGAGGATGACTTGAAAGAGAGGCGAAAAGCTTCTCCCAGAAAGGGAGTATTTTGTCAGGGCACCCGTGTTATTGAGAAGGGGGTGGGGAGAAGGGGGGGGCGCACACATACCCCAGGACCCTCCTACCCCCCATCCATTTTGTGGGAAGATGTGGGAAGATCGCGAGCGAAAAGTCAGGCCTAGTACGAGCTCGTCGGGTGGTCCAGCAGGGAGGGCTTATGTATAAGAAAGGGGATGGAGGTGGGGGGAGGGGAAGGTGGGCGGAGAAGGAGAAGGAGTAGCAGAACGGGGTCTAATGGGGTCAAGGGTGTCCAAGAGCGTGTGAGGGTGTCTGGGAGGCCTCAGAGGAATGTTGGCGGAGGGGAGTGTTTGACGGTTACGTGGGGTTCTTGGGAGGAGCGACGCTCTCTACCCTCTCCGCCGCAACGTCATCCTTTTTTCTGGCACGTGCAGGAGCATGCCCAGGTATGATTTCCATATTCAGTGCAAGTATTAAGTTTCCTTCTTGATCGCTTCTACCTCCCCTCTGTCTCCCAGATCGTCCTGCCGCCCATCAAGGAAGAGAGGGAGAGGGGGAGGAGGGTTTGGCATGTATGTCCTGGGCGAGTATTCGTTCCTGCTCTTGTTGCTCAGAGGGTGCATCACGAGATTCACAGCAGCAGCGACGATGCAGGGATGCATGCTGGATGATGTTGAGAGGTTGCGGCGTTTGACTCCGAGGACTCCCACTTCCTTACGGTCGAGTTGGCCCCCGGGGGGTCGTCGTCGCGCAGCCTTTTGAACGGTGAGCGCGCGTCGATTGTACAAAAAGCAGTGGGGATGTGAGCTGAGGTTGGGAATGTGAGGTTGCTGCTGCGGGGAAGTATTAGTTGTGGGGAGCAAGTGACGCCTAGGTCAAGGACTTCGACATTGTTCAAGCAGTCCGAGACAGGCACGCACCAGAGTGCGCAGCCTTTCTTTCAAGCAGCTGGACTGTTGCCTGGTTGCAACTCGCGTGTTGTACAACATCGCGCAGGTGCCTAGCAGTATGCGATCTCGCGAGAGCGTTTCATCGACATGTCTCCCAAAAGAACGCTGGCAATTGTGAGTCGTTGGTGGCTTCGCTGGTGGGGGAGCCTAAAAACCTTATCTGTAGCGAGTTACCCCGGCACGTTGCCTCCCAAAACTCGTTGCCGCCGCCTCCAGCCCCGCTCTTCGCTGCTGCGCAACCACAGGGGGGGCAGGCATAAGGAGGGATGCCTCGACCTCGAATGGTTAATACATCGACGATGTATAGACGATACACGGGGCGGTCTGCATCGACGATACGTGGGCGTTGTATCGGCCATTCGAGGTCGGTGCAACCCACGTACGCCCATCCCCCCCTGACGTTGCCCCTCAGCCCCCCAGAGCTTCGTCCCACCACCAGCCCCACTCGCTGCCCCTTCATTGTGCTCCCTCTAACCAGTTCTGCCACTAGCCCCGCCCGTTGCCCCTGCACTGCGCCTTCAAAGCTTGTTGGCGCCAGCAGCTCCACTCATTTCCCCTGCGCTGCGACCCCCAGAGCTCGTTGACTTCACCACCCCCCCTCGCTGCCCGTGCATCCTGCCTCCCGCTGCTCGCCGCCGCCACGAGGCCCGCCGCTAGCCCACTCCTTGCCCTTCCGTTGCGACCAGCAAGTTCTGCTGCCTTCATTCGCCCCGTTGTTGCGTTGGCATGGCGTTTTTCAACGATCGATGCCGCCACCCGCCTTCGTCGCCACGAGCCCCGCTAGTCTCATGACCTTGCGTTGCACACCCACAGGGCCGTCGCAGCCACAAGCGCGGCCTCGCCTCATGCCTCTGAGCTGCGCCACTCCAGAGCTCGCCCCCGCCATAAACCGCGGCTTGCATGCACCTGGAAGTAGCACCTCAGGGAACAGCAGCAGCAGCACCGCGAGGGCCAACGTATTCGTCATCTTGTCTGGCACGTTACAGTGTCAAGCAAACATGGTGTGGGGCTCAGGCGTACCCAAAGGTCGTTGCCAGCACAAGCCCTGTTTTTTGCCATTGTGCTGGGCCCCCCAAGCCTTTTGCCGCCGACAGAAGAGCTCATTGCCCTTATGCTTTGCCCCAAAGATCCCACTGCCACCACGAGCCCCCCCCCTGCCCATGCTCCCACGCAGCCCGTCGCCATCACATGCACCGTTCGCTGACCGTGCGCCGCCCCTCCCCCCCGGAGCTCGTGGCCGCCACCAGCCCCGTTGGATGGTCCTGCATTGCCGCCGGCTCCGCCTACCGCCCTTGCGGTGCACGCTCGAGAGCTCGCTGCTGGCACGAGCCCCGTCCGCTGCCCCTGCCCTGTTTCCTCCCCCCCGAAGATCTTGGCCACCACCAGCCCTCGACGTTGCCCCCTGCACGGGGCCCCCCCGCAGCTCGTCGCCGCCGCTGGGCCCGCCCGCTGCTCCTGCACGGAGACCCCGAGGGCAAGGTCCGCGCCGCGCACCCCCAGGAGGCTTGTTTTGCCGCCACCAGCCCCGCCTCGTCTCCGCAGTGGGCCTGTCCGCTGCACCGTGCGCTCCAAGCCTCAGCTCCGTCGCTGGTCCCATGCACTGGTGACGGTAGCAGCAGCAGTGCGGGAGTTGACGTATTTGTCCCACCGTGCCGTACCACGTTAGATCGTCCGGCAAAAATTGTTAGAGGTGCACGTGCTGGTAAAATGCATGTTGGTTATTACATGCGCCTCAAGATTCGTCCACGATGCCCGTCACACCATGACGTTGACGGGAAAACAGGCATAGTGTTGACAGATTGGTCGTCTAAGGTGGAGAATGTTTCGGCCCAGTGAACCATGTGAAAAGAAGATGAACCATTATTGGAGCAGTGGTAGTCGAAAGTTGTATGCTCAAGACAGACGCGTATGCTATCGGCCTGACATCAATAGAATCACGATCTGGGGGGCGAGGTTGGCAGAAGTTATCGTTGACAGCCCAAGAACGTTTCGAGCCAATCAGACGTATGACCTCTATTCTGGGAAGGCATGCCCGCACTGAGTGATACCAATTGCGCCAAAGGTTATCCGAACGCATGCGGGCGCTTGTGGGAATACCGGCCAAGCCCCAGATCCAGCGTTCCGGGAGGGGGGCAGTGCCCCCATTTCGGCCAGATTCTTGCCTATGGGAGAGTTCCCCGTTTTGGCCCCCCTGAACACCGCCGACGTCGGGCATTTGCTCCTACGCACATGTGGGCGACGCAGAAAAACGGAGTCGTCTTCACCGACATTTGCGCGCAAGTTGCCCTCGTAAGGTCGTGCGTGAGCGCCATCGTTTCCAACGTGGCGTGCTGGGCTGGTGGCCCGCGTAAGCCACCGCGTGAGTTCGCTATGTCAATGTGCGTAAGACCCGATTCTGATCGTCGCTCACGTGTGACGGGGCCCAGGGACACAAATAAATACACACCAATCCCAGGATTCCCCATATTCTCCCATATTTTCTGGGTTTTCGTCTCCCCTCCCACTTCCCATATTTCCCCAGATTCTTTTAAGGATCATCGATTAATTGTGTCTGCGTGTTTTTTCCCCTCCTGAGTGTGGCCTCGCGCGCGCCGCCGCCGCCCCCCCCCCCCACACCCCACACCCGCGCCGCGCCCGAGAGGCTGTTCCGCCACGCAGACGCGACGGCGCCCGCCGCGTCGCCGCAGGCGGCGTCCTCCTCCGCGGAGAGCGGGGGCGACCCGACCCTCCAGTCCACGCAGGACGGGACGGGGGGGGGGCAGCGTCGGGGGTCAGGGGCAACGTTCGGGGGGGATAGGCTCGGGAGAGGGGGGGGGGGCGCATCGACCCCCCAAATCACCCATGCACCGCCGATGGGGGCCCGATAGCCCGCCCCACCCCGCCCAAGACCGTGCGGATTTTTGCGATCGGGGGCCCGTCGCCGAGCCATCGGCGATGGATCGCCGCTTCCAGGTCGATGTTTCCCCCCCCCCCTCCGAGCTGGTCCCCCGGTATCGTGGCATCGTTGCCCCATCACGGGAGGGGAGAGGAGCACCCAGACGTCCGGCGCCTCGACACAAACTCGGGGCGCCCGGCGCTCTGCCACTGCAGGCCTTCGGAGGGAGCCGTCAGGAACGACTCGCTGCAGGAGGAGGAGGAGGAGGAGGAGGAGGACGAGGACGAGGACGAGGAGGACGAGGAGGAGGAGGAGGAGGAGGACGAGGAGGAGGAGGAGGAGGAGGAGGAGGAGGAGGAGGAAGAGGAGATGGTCTCGAGAGGCTGGGGCCCATGGCGCGGCGAAGGAAGCCGAAACGACGGACGTCGGGGCGCCTCGGGCGGACGGCAGAGGAGGGGGGGGGGGCGGCCTCACAGCGGAGGGATGGGGCGGCCTGGCCCTCCGGCCCACGCAGGACACGGGAGGGCCGCTGGCCGTGTGGACGGAGGAGGCGTGGGGCGCAGAGCCGCCGTGGGGCGCCAGGAAAGCCAGCTCGTTGCGTGAGCTGATTCGTTGACCCCCCCCCTTTTACTCTTTGGCTGGCTCCCTGGTAGTCCGACCCGAATGGGAAGGAGGGGCAACGGGCGGAGAGCAACGGGGAGACAACTCACAGGGCGTGAAGAGAGGCGTGTCGTTCCAGCACCTTTTAGACGCCACGAGGTGGCAGTGAAGCCACTTTAGCGCCACCTTGGATCCTCGCAGGACCAGGGGGGGCGCCACCATGCAAGATTGAGGTTAAATATCTGGAGGGTCGGTTTTTACAGTTCTGCGCCTCTGGAGCCTCAAGAGGCATTCAGGGACCTCCGCACACGTCTGGGACCTACAGCCAGGCATCCGACGTCTTGATTGGTACGGGGTCCCCCGAAGTCCCGACTCTTTCCCCAGGGCTGGCCTTCATCGCGGGTCATTCCTTGACGATTCCAAGGCCCGGCGAGGGCACCAAGAGGTCAAGGACAACGAAAAAAACAATCGTCTTGGTTTCTGCTATAACGTTGGATGTTCAGGAGGGCGACCCGACTTTTCCAGTCGACGCGCGATCAGAGGGGCGAGAGCACGGGAGGAGGAGGAAGTCGTGGCCCTTTTTCCCCACTGGAAGGCGGAGGACGAAGGATCGCCGCGCGGAGTGGCGCGCAGAAGGCGTGCGAAAGGAAAGGGGAAGGAGGAAGAAGGCACAAGGAAGGAGGAAGGAAAGAGGGAGGAGGGAGAAAGGAGGACGAGGAGGAGGAGGAAGCAGGACAAAAGAGGGGGAGGAGAAGGCGGAGGAGGAGGAAGAAGGAGAGAGGAGGAGCGAGAGAGGAGGAAGACGACGCGGCAGAAAACAAGGAGGAGGAGGAGGAGGAGGAGGAGGAGGAGGAGGAGGAGGGAGGGATGCGGAGGATGCAGAGGAGGAGCCTCGGAGCTGGCGACGCAGACGGTCAGCCAGGCCGCGGGGGGAGCGGCCGACCCCGGCGCGCCCACGCGCGCGCCGACGCGCGGCCCTCGCCGGCACCGGGCAGAGAGGTCGCTCGGCACGCAATCGCACGGCCCAGCCGGCACCACAGGTCGTGATCAGGTCCCGAGGATGCTGATCCCGGCGCCGCCACCAGAGATCGTGGACCGCCGACTTGTCCGTGACGCAGACTGTGACGCCCGTGGTGAGCTCCTCACGCATGATGGGGCCGAGCAGCTCGCCACGATGGAGTGTCTGCCTTCTGCCAGGGAGTGGTCCATGCACAACTCGGGTCACCATCGGGAAGGCCGAGTCCATGACGACCACACCCACGCCAACACGACAAAGCTCAGGGTG